TGGCCTTTCTAATAAAATATAAAGATCTATGGAAGAACCAATCATTTTTAGAGCCATATTTTTAATTATAAATGTTCCGGATATCCAAAAATTCCGTGAATCTATCACCCTGGCCTGAAATCTTAGAGTGATCTGGACAAGAGATTTTATTATCTTTGGTGTTTGGGGCAGGACTAAATTATAGTGTTGGGGGTTTCCGTCATTGTAGCTAGGCTAAAAATTATTTTTCTCATTTCTGAATCAATCCAAAAATATTTTTATAAGTACCAAATTAATTATCTTACGATCATAAGACAAAAAATAATGAAACAACTTTTCTCTAAAATAAACAAAATTCGGCTTTCTTTTAACTAATTCGTATGGTTAAATTTTCCTTCAAGACGCTCGTGTGCTTGCATAAAATCGGCATTTTTAGCAAAGATGAAATTTTTTTGTTTTTTATTTTATTTAAATCACTCATGTCTTTCGCTTCGATTTTAATTAGCCGAAGCATTATAATGTTTATTTTAGAGAAAATTTGGCATTTATTTATTTCATTTATTGAATACTTTAAAATTTTGTACACTAATTTTTAAAATATTTTTGTTTATAATTCCCCTCCGTCTAAATTTTTGCTCAAAATTATTTAAACCCATTAAACTAAATAAAAATTATTTTTTTTGTATTTTTCTTTTCGAATAATTAATTAAAATAATTTAAATTAATTTTTGATAAAAATTTTCAATCGAAAATCATTTTACTTTACTTTATATTAATTAATTTGTTTAGGATTTTATTTATTTGTTTTATTGAAAGACATGAATGAAACAATCGTGTTGGTGCAAGTGTATTTTTAGAAGTCCTTCTACTTGGGCTAATTTGCAGGATTTTCTTTTCTTTTTAATCATTCTTAGATTTTTTAGGTTTTGTCGATTCCAATCTAGTATTAGTGTTAGCAGAGGATAGCGAGTTATAAAACATTGATTAACAAATGGTACTTTATTATAAAATAATTTAGAACAATATGGATGTTACTAAACGGCGTATGCTGGGGATCGTATAAAATAATAGCAATAATTTTTGAACTTTTTGGTATTTATTTTAAATTCATAGAATTTCAACCAAAACTTTTGACTTATTTTTAGAGATTGTTAATGTTTTCAATTGGATTGCTGCGGGAATGTTTGCCTGGTGGCCTTGAAATTAATTTTGGAAGGAACAGAAGCATATCGTCGTCCAATAATAATTTTACTCTTGACGATATGTAATTATCTATTTAAATATTATTTTAAATATTTTGTTTTATGTTTTTTACAGTACTTATAAATATATAATTAAATTATCTAATGATTATTTAGATAAAATGAGTGAGCTAATAGACAATTACACCTGCTAATGTACTTTACAATTTTTAAAAGCTATGTAGCTACGAACGGGACGAATGGAATTTTCTGAATAATTAAATAAGAAAATTGTTTATATCAACTTAAATAATACATAATTAATATTAATAAAATTTATTATTAAAAAAATTTCCTGTTTACTTTTAAGATTTTACTTTTTAAAAGCGTAAATTAAAAAAATTTTTTTAATAAATTTTAAAATAATACACATGGTTACAAAAAATTAATCGGACACTTTTAATTTTATCGTAACATTTTCATTATTAATATTTTTTGATGATTTTCCACTCACTTTGTAGCCGAAACAATTATCTTTCAGGGCTTATAAGCCCGGTTCCATTATTGAACCCTTTTCTAAAAGATTCGGCTTTGACTTTTGCTCCAAGTAAGGGTTATGTACTTCCAAAATTCTTGATTATTTTCGTTCCTTTTTTAGTTCTCTATCATTTAAGCTTTATTTGATCTTTTTATCTTTTATTTAAATAAAGTTACACTATAAATAAGTGACCGGTTACTTTTTTGTCACCCTGTAGAATGTCTATGAATGAAAATATCACGATATTTTCAACAACAAATATTCCACCACTAATCGTATCAAATAAAATAACATCTCTCTACGATATTTTTGCAAATTCTGGACTTTCATTTACTTTGATAATATTTGTAAGTATCCGCTGGTTAATTTCTGTAGTTGGCGCTGTTTTAAATTTGCTTTTATTTTGGATAACTATTAAAACCAAGTAAGAAAAACACACAGTCAATTTTCTATAATAAAATATGGTCTTTAACAGCCAACCCTCGAGACCTGATTTAGTATATAAAGTTAAATATTATTTATATTTGGGTATCAATCAGGCCAAACCACATCATTGTTGATGAATTGTGGTGAAGTAAGAAAAAAAGCACCTCCACTAAAGTAGCGACCTTACCTTAGAGGAGATCCCATAACAGGAATTATAATTAAGGTCTGTAATGAAATTATATTTTTAAACTTTTTTCTTGACCGAAAATGTTGAAAAAACTTATCATTTTTATAATTTTAGAGGATCTAGCAAGCTAAACTTTGGCTTAGGATAAGAATTCAGGCGATGTATGAAGAGGGCTTTAGAGTAGGTCTCATAACAGAGAATAATGAACGTCTGAATGAAAGTTTTCTATATTTTTCTTGTCTCATATTTCGTTTTTTACTTGCCCGAAAATTTTGACTCTACCTATCAGATAAACTATTAGTATTTTTATAATTTTTATTTTATTCATGAGCAGGACACTTAACAGTTGCTGTAATTATTTGATAGCAATTGATGCCCTATTTACAGCTATATACCAAACAAGTAATTTAATTTCAATGTTTATTGTTTTGACTGGAATTAATTTTATAAATTTGGATATTTGTTTTTATTTGATGATTTATTCGATTTTATCAATTACGATGACTACATGCTTAACTTTTTTTATTGGATTTGATCGTCTTCTTTCTGTCTTATTTCCAGTTATGTTAGTTTATGATAGTCTAGACATTATGGGGGGCGATTTTATGAAGAAGGGTGCTTGCTAGGAATTCACTCTGACAAGCTTTCCCCCGAGGTATCCATGGGAGGAATTTTTACAAATTCCAAATACTTGGAAATTCAAATAAAATTCTAAAAAAGGTATTTTAATCAAATTCTTCCGTTCCATGGGCATTGTTTCCTCCTTAATTTTGTTTATCTAACTTAATTAGGGTTGCCGGCCCGGTCCGGATATAAAGATCGAGTTGGGCATTGCATTTAGGACACGAATGACACGAACGTCGCCCGACTTGAAAACGGCACCGTAAACTTGCTATTAATAAATTAGCCAAATTTAGTTTTGGCAGTAACGAATATTCACGACGAATCATTACATTATCGACATTAATTTCAGCAATTTATTCATTTTTTATGATTTGGGAATGTTATCAATTAAATATTACAATACCTAAAACGTAATTTTTTCCTATTGTTATTCTCATTTAACTAGAGTTGGACAAGACGAGACCCATACCGTGATTCTCGGCTTTTTTCCATATCGGTCTCGGTTTTTTCTTTCGTGTTCTCGAACCTAAAACTGAAATTCGCGGTCCATTTCTCGGCGAGAAACGAAACTGACTTAAAGAAACAAAATCATCTATATTGTCCAAAGTAATTCGGCAAAGCGTTATAAATTCTATATTTAAGATTTATTTTATATTTAAGTTACATGTCTTAAAGACGGATTTTTTGGAGTCTTCCAAAAATTACAAAATTTTCGTCTGCGGCGCTGAAAAGTGAAGAAATATGTTATATGAGAAGAAGAGATATCAAAGGTTATGCTTGCATCCTTTGAATCTCCTCCGATCCTTTTAGCAATCTCGGTCTCGTGTTGGCCCATACCAGTATCGTTTTGCTCAACTCTACTTTTAACTAAATTTTAGTCCCGTTATTTGTTCAATTTCTGATTGCTTTCAACAGGATGTTGGCCAAATGGTCTCTTAATAATTTTATTTAAATATTTTTAATTTAAAGAGTTTCCGCAATTCTTTTATTATTATGGTACTTTCTACTTTAAATTATATTTTAATCTGCATTTCAATAAAATATCGTTCAAGTACAACATTATTTAATAAAAGTAAATTTTTAATTTTATTTCTTTTTATTGATTTAGGGATTAACGGAGACCCAGATTTGAAAGGCATACTAAGAAAGTGTTTGAGATTTATTAAAAATATGAGATAAAAACAGTCAACATTAGCACACTAGCACATTTACATGTTGATTAAATCTACTAGCAATAATTGGTAGGAAATTGCGGGTTCAATGCCATTCCATACTACTCTCTCACCTAAGTTTAACTTAGAGACACAAAAATTATTAATTTTTCTTTACAAATTCTTATCAATGAATCCTGATAAGATAATATCTAATTTTCATTTAATTTCCAGAAGGTGCAGATTACACAAAACGGATTTTTAAATCACTGGTCATTATTATGTCAATGGGTGTTGCAGGGTAAATTTACTAATAATTAGGGATGGGATTTATAGGGATCTTTATATTTTCTTCCTGAATTCGTTGGGTTTTGAAACGTCCAAAAAACATTGTTTTAGCATATGGTGATAAGACTGATAATGAGTTATCAATCCATATTTTCCATATTTTTTTATATTTAGGCGTTCCGTCTATATTTTATCTATATTTCGTCATTTTTTGTAAAATTTTGCCAAAAATTGGTTAAAATACTTTTTATAAAAAATTTTTTGCCAAAAATTTTTAATAATTTTCGGCTCAAATATATACAAGTATTTTTAGAAACAAAATATTATAATTACTATTAATTTATTTATTTGTAATATTTTGCATCAAAATTAACTTATTGAACATTTTCTATTTTAAAATAAAAATTTTTCCGTTAAAAATTTTCGGTTTTCGGCCCATATTTGATCCGTATTTTGGATTTTAATACATATTCAAGTTCATATTTTTGAATTTTCATTTTATATTATATGTCGTTATTTTTCGATTGATAGTCAATATTAATCCCATCCCTACTAATAATAAATATACTTATTTTAAATCAAATTTTATTAAAAGATTGTTGCTTAATACTACCTGTCGTTATATTATGCCTCTCCTTTCCCTTAATTCTTTACAAACATTTTATGTTTCTTCGATACTCGGATGGATAACTAATTTTGTTATGGCTTGTAATGCACCTGTACTTTACAAATTTTGGTAAAAATTAAATTGAGAGATTAATTATAATTTAAATAATTTTTAGTAAGGATTACAAAACTGCTTTTAATGCTTTTTTTAAAAAGAATGCAACTGTGGGCGTTCAAATTAAACATTGAAGGCTATTTCTGCATAGTGACAATTACTGATAATTTTTTCAAAGACAATGAGGAAAAGATAGAAAATTTTTATTCAAATGATCGACTCTTTTTCTTTTTTATCATCTATTTCTTCTAAATTTTCTTTTGAAATTTTATTTTCGTCATTGTCAATTAAATTGTAGACAGATAAAACTGACTGACCCAACAAAGTTCCACTAGATTTGTGACATTTTTGTGACTCTAAAATTAATTGTTTTAATTTAAAAATCTAATTTAACATTCGAAAATAATTTTAAAAGGTTCCATAGAGATATTTAATAAGATATTTAATACTTTAGAAAACTGGAAGAAAAGCGAGAGGGATAAGAGTAAGGTTGGCGGATAGGTTGTTGGAAATCTTCGCATATCCTATCCGGTATTCGAACCGAAAATTTCCGGATATCCGGCATTTTTCGGACGAGGATAACCTTAGATTAGAGCCTGAAAAACTAAGAATTCCTTCTTGGTTTATCCCGGTACCTCCAATCAATCACACTAATAAATAGAGCTCGGACCCGGGCCGGGCTCGGGACCGGGTTTTCCGGGCCCGGTAGCCCCGAACCGGGTATTTTTGAGAAAATCCGGTTTTTCGGGGTTTCCGGTTTTTCGGGGTTTTAGCCCGGAAAACCCGGCCCGGGTCTTGTTCTAAAAACCCGGGCCCGGCCCGGGTCCAAGTTTGAGTAAATTTTAAATAAAATTCCGAACTTTTGGCCAAATCTATCGCCCTAACATCCTAAATTCTCAAAATTTTCGCCTGCGGCGCCAAAAAAGGGAAAAAATCTACTTATACATCAAAATTCCCAAAATTTTTGCCTGCGGCGCTGAAAAGTAAGAAATCAGCTAGGTTGTTCCCTTAAAATTCTAAATCCTCCCTAATTCCCGGTACTCTGCATATTCCTCTTGTCCTTCCAAATTTTTCTTAATCCGATATTCTTCCAGACATCGAGGTATTTAAGGGATATATGATATCTATAAATTTATCAGTATTAATCACCGATATCCTCTACTTCCCTTTTTTCCAATATCCTTTCGAATCCGCTCATATCCTTATTTGTGCGTGTATCGAAGGATCAAAAGGTTACCTCCTCAGATATCACTTGAATCACAGATATTACTGTTATCTATTACGTAAAGATTTTTATGGAAATCTTATTAATATTTTTCCCGATATACCTCAAAATCCCTGTTAATCCATTCTAGGTGATATATACTCTCCAGCAGGGGTGTGCCGAAACGGATTTTAAAAAGCGAAACGCGAAAGGCGAAATTAAATTTAAAAAGTGAAACGCGAAACGCGAAATGCGAAAGTAAATTTAAAAAAGCGACACGCGAAACGCGAAAGTCCAAAAAACGCGAAAATCCGCGAAAGGCGAAACGCGAAACGCGAAATTCTTACAATTTTTCGGTACGATGAGAAATTTTTAAGGATCTATCAACTCAGTGCTTTGTTCCAAATCAAAGCCTCAACTGAATCTTACAATCACCATTAGGATTTTGACAGGCATCCGAGATATAAAGGGATTTAAGGGAATATCAGACATAAATCAGGTTCCATCCTTTATTTTATATCCTATATTTCAAGATATTTAGAAGTCCGTATCTCGCTTTAAAACATTTCAGTAGAATAGAAGTGGAATTTTAGTGGTTTTCGTTTTGGTATTTGTGTGGATTAAGAGGGACACAGGAGTATTTAGGTAAATTCCGAAGGATATGGAGGATTTGAGTGATAGTGGATCTAGGGGAATATCGGGCGACAAACTTATGTCAAGGTTCTTCCATTTTTAGCGCCGCAGGCAAAAAATTTTTGAATTTTGGTAAACCAAGGATCCAGATTTCTTCCTCTTTCTGCGCCGCAGGCGAAAATTTTGAGAATTTTGGAAATCCTTAAGCCAGATTTCTTCTCTTTACAGCGCCGCAGGCAAAAAATTTTTGAATTTTGGAGGTTTTCAATTTACTCGGGCCTCATTTTTTCTCCAACTTTACCATCTTTCACCTGTCATTAGGGGTGTATAAAACTTTCGCATTTCGCGCAAAAAGCGAAACGCGAAATGCGAAAGTAAATTTAAAAAAGCGACACGCGAAACGCGAAAGTCCAAAAAACGCGAAAATCCGCGAAAGGCGAAACGCGAAACTCGCACACCCCTGCTCTCCAGATATCACGCAAAATCCAAGATACTATACATACATACTATTAATCGAGCAAAAAATACATAAATCGCTCCAGAAGCCTACTTATCTAAATCCATTTAACACCTTCAAATCCACCGATAACCCACTTAATCCCATCAAATCCTTTGATAATCCGATATTGCTTCAGATCCTCCAGTATTCTGGATGTAGGTATTGAGGGATGACCGCAAATTTTTGATAAATTTCTATTTTAAATAAGGAAATTTCAAAAAAAAGCTAAATTTTAATTACTTTTCAAATTTTGAAAAAACCGGGTCCGGGCCCGGGTGTAAAAAAACCGGGTTTTCGGGGTTTCCGGGTTTTCGGGGTTTTAGCCCGGAAAACCCGGCCCGGGTCGGGGCAGAAGAAAAAAACCCGGATACCGGGCCCGGCAAAGTGAAAATGTCGAGCTCTACTAATAAATACGATTTATGGGGTACAGCCCAAGTAGGCGCGCGGCCAAGTAGGCGCAAAGCCATAACTTGCTTCAAGATTTTCGAATCTTTCAAAATTTAGCATTAAACGATTTCTCTCATCGTACCAAAATTGTTAAGGTCCAGAAAATTTCCAGGTAGTTATGGCTTTGCGCCTACCTGGCCGCGCGCCTACTTGGGCGTATCCCCGATTTATGTACTCTGATGAGATTTAAATATAGATTTAACGATTTATTTATTAAGCAGATAAATGACAAACTTAAATTATTACTTTCGTCTTCCAAAATTATAGCAGCACTGCTAGGCCGTTGAGGGAGCTTTTTATTTACATCATCCTTTTTGTTAAAGGGTGAAGATGATTTGCAATGAGCAGATTTGTTTAACGAAAGATTTTTAACTGTATCACTTAATAATTGAGGTGGGTCCTCTGGCTCTGGGAATTTTTTTGATTTTAATTTAGTTGTTGCTTTTTGTTGTTCTTCTTCCTTTAATTGCCGGTAAAATCTGTTCAAACAATCTGGGAAGAGAGTTTGATCCCAAGAGTATGTCCATAGATCTATTGCCTTAAAAAAGGACATTGTTAATCTTTTTTTAATAATTTTATTTTTAAATAGTGGCAAAATTTTATATTGTTCTCATACTTATTTGCGAAACCAAAGCTAATCTTATACCATTTTTCCACATACTGCCTTAATAAAATTAAAGTAAGTAATATAAACTAGAAAAATAGCTAAATCATGTTTAGCTTACAAAAATATGTACACATAATACCTGTAAAATTTTCGCTATCTGAAAAAATTCCTTGGGTTAACAAAGTAAAGTATTAACGGATTCTTCATATTAAGCATAAAATCAAAATTCATGATATAATTTTTGGACATCCAAGACGGAACATACAATACTTAATTTTGTATTTTTCTGATATATACATACAGTCGTGGAAAAAAGTATGGAAGCGCTAGAAAAAGTTTTTTAAATTCTTAATTTTTTATGCAAAAAATACGATCTATATACCAATCGAAAACTCTATTCGTATCTCAGTTGACATGTTTCTGCATTTTTCATGAAAATGAAAATTGGCCGAGATAATCCGGATCTACCGGATATATCAAATCCCATTTTTTCGGAAAAATTTTTTGGAAGAAATTTAACAAACCCATTTGATAAAGCATATTTTTCTGAGTATTTTCCACAAAACCGCTTAGAAATATCTTTTTCCGGAACAGAGATATGATTTTTTGAAAATCGTATTTTTCGTCAATTTTTGCAAAAAATTCGATTTTTAAGGGAAAAATACGATTTTCAAAAAATCATATCTCTGTTCCGGAAAAAGATATTTCTAAGCGGTTTTGTGGAAAATACTCAGAAAAATATGCTTTATCATTTGGGTTTGTTAAATTTGTTCCGAAAAATTTTTCCGAAAAAATGGGATTTGGTATATCCGGTAGATCCGGATTATCTCGGCCAATTTTCATTTTCATGAAAAATGCAGAAACATGTCAACTGAGATACGAATAGAGCTTTCGATTGGTATATAGAACATATTTTTTGAATAAAAAATTAAGAATTAAATAAAATTTTTCTAGCGCTTCCATACTTTTTTCCACGACTGTAGGTGCTTTTATGTTTATTTTTTTAGGCATAGCAGTATTAGAATATATTTTTGTAAGCAACAAATTTGTGACTGATTATTTTACAAGATTATCAGAGAGGTCAATCAAGAGGTTAATGAATTTAAAATTAAGGGTGCAGCCCAAAACGACGCAAAGCCATAACATGTGGAAAGGGTCTGGCCCTTATAAATTTTAGTATTATTTTCTTAGCTTAATTAGATGAATCGTTTAATACTAAATTTGGTATGATTAGGAAAGCTTGAAACAAGTCCTAAAGAAAGAAGCAAGTCCGTGCTTCTAAATTACGTGCTTCTAAAATTAGTCCGTGCTCCTTAAAATAATTATTAATGCTGATTTTATTCAATAAATTAATCCTTTTTTAAATTTCAATATCAACCTACAATCATCAAAAGTCTTTTAGTTTCCTCCTCCATCTTAATATTATTCGAACATAGCCATCTCCTACAGGACATAATTAATCTCTCACATTCTGAATTATTTAATAAAGATAATTGTTGTCCATAATTAACTATAACATTTGCTAAACACTTTAAAATAATTAAAAAAATATTTTTTTAAATTTAATTACATGTAAATCTCTATCATCCGGATCCTCACTCACTAGCATTTTAAGACAACGAAATAGAGGGTCTATTAAACAAGCACTTAGACACTTGTCTATTTTTCTTGAATAAATTAATTTTTATTTATATGTTTTTTAATTTTGTCAACCTGTAAACAGGATAAAGCTCTACAAGAGTGCAAACAAAATTTCTAAACATTGCACGACTCTGCTTGCGAATATCATATCTTGTGTTGAAATCGCGTAAAGCAAATGAGAGAACTTGTGAGCAAACAGTAACATTCTGATTTTAATTGATAAATAATAGTATGTAGAAACGGCTTGTGCTTTTCTACATTGCTTTACTCGTTTCTAGCTCAAAACGAGAAACCTAAACCAAATTCGGAAAAATTAATTTCGCAGCTAATTTACGAATATTGAAAAATTAATTATCAGGATAATTATTAGAGTAAATACGGTATCTACAATTTTATCACATCAATTTTAACTTGAATTTTGTCAAGTTTCCAAAAAATTACGCATGTGATAGGGCCTATTCCCAAATATAAGTAAAATGCAAATTATCAAATTAATAAAAATAACAAAATATTTTAGATAATATAGAGTAAATCATCTAAATCATATCAGAAAGTAAAAAATGGTTAGGATTTGTATGGATTAAACAGTCAGTATCCAGCTTTCGTCACCCCACTCTGCTTATTCAACTTGTTTTATTAATAGTCTCGTAAAACTTAAGTCCATTCGATGAACTTTAAATTCTTTCTGTGTATTAAATAAAAATTAAACTAACATCACTCATTTGGTAAACAATTTTTGGAGCAATTAAAGAAAAATTTTGATCTGCCAACCATCGTTGATGTAAATGTTCGGCAATAGCTTGTGGAGGTGCTGTACTTATTAAAGTCGAAAATGCATAAACTATAAAATTTATAATATTTCCCCAATTTTATCAATTAAAAACCTGGAACATCTCCATATGCGGATAAATGCCCTATAGAAGATAATAAATTGTTTAAACGTTCCTCTTCCGCTTTTAATTGGTTTTGTCGAAATTTTAGGTTATTTTGATAATTTCCAGTCTGTGGACGTGGGGAATGTGACAAACTTTTTATATTAGACATTAATTTTAAAGTAAATTATTTAAATAATTATTTTTGTTTAGGCTTTAAAGTTTAGTTTAGTTCATTTTATTTTTTAAAGATTAGTTTTGATTGTTGAGAAATTCAACAGTTGTTCATTAAACTAATAAATTGACCTTGCTAAATATTAATTTTTTGTTTCAAAAGCTTTTTAATATAGTAAGTTTGGAAAATGATAAAAAGAATTAAAATTTTTAAAATAAAATATAATTCAAATAAAAATAATATTTTTTTAATTATTTTAATTTTAATTAAATATTATCTAAAATTAAAGGCACTAATATGTTTATAAAAATTAAATTCACTATAATTTTTTAGATATTGTAAAGCATATAGCCATTTAATTCCTAAGGCTATGCAGTAGACGGCATGGTGGAATGGTTAACACATCAGTCCGGTCTACTGAAGAAGCCGTTTCGCTCACAGCCGTCGAATAACCTTTTGCGCTAGCTAAAGGAGAGAATAGTTATCGACCAGCTGTGCCTTACCTTATATGCAGAAGAGAATAGCAGAAAAGTAATAGAATAAATCTTCATAACTCTGAGACTTGATAATAGCTATGAACACCGTTCAAGCTTCCAGAAAATATACAAGGAACCTCGTCTGATGCCTAGAACGTTTTCTTTTCCCATTATTTATAAAATCCTAATTCAAATAAATAACATTAAATAAATTTTTGTGTGTACATTTTTACAAGCTTATTAAAAATCTCATACTTCATATTTCTCCCTAACCATGTTCAAAGTGACATCGCTTTTCATCTCTCCTTCTTTTTCCAAAATGGCCTAAAAATAATTTATTTACTTCATGTTTTTAAGTTTGTTATAGGATGTTAAACATTCTTAATAGATTAATTCAACTGATCCTTGTCTTGTCCAGACTTCTGTATATTTTTGGAAGCCAACATATTGGCTATTTACTGTAACATCTTCTGAGGTTAAATATCTCATTAGATAAATACCATATAACCAAGTTTGGGGTGATTCAGTATTCCATCTTCCATCCAATGAATTTTTCCACAGTATGAACATCGTATATGTATAAAGCTCCCATGTTTTTAATTCCTACTCGGAGCTGAACTTTAGTCAAACTTCAACTTCATTTATTTGCTGAATAATTTCAGCATCCAAAAAATAAATGTCTACTTATGAAAAAACCTTGTTTGACTGTTATAATTAAGTGGAATTAATAAAAACGAATTAATAAATTTAAATATTGTGTAAAAAAGTGTATAAAAAGTCTGGGTTGCAGAAAGCTAGAGGTTCACTTCCTAAGCACAGAGGTTCCTGAAAAATAATAGAATTATTTTTTGATTAATTAGCCATAGAACGTTGTTCAGGCTTCCAACAAATTACGAAGATGTTATGCAAGGCCTGGATCAAAACCAAAAAAAATATTCCAGAAATTTTCAAAGCTACGGTCAAGTAAAGACGCCCTTCCAATAGAAAGATACCAAGGAGAGAGGAAATTTTGTTTCTCCTAGAAATGTTATTTTCCTCGTACTCCCTAATTATGCTAGCTAGATTTTCATAACGATAAAAATAGTTATGAACAAATGTTCAATCTTCCAAATATAAAGTATCTGAGGACTTCCAATACACGTACCTTTGTTAAACATTCAGAATTTATAAAAATTAAAAATAAAATAATTAATATTAAGCAAAGATTAGAGCAGCATAAATCATATTTATTTTCTGTAAGATGGACTTTGTTTTTCAGTCTACTTACCTAACAATGATTTGTTTGGACGCTGTTCTTGGTTTAACAATGCTGTTTTAAAAGAACGTATCTTGGATTGAAGTGTAGCTATTATTGGGGATATATTATAACGAGGCCCTTAAGTGTGTCTTAAATGTGTTTTTATCAGTAAACATGTCATTTTATTACAACATATCATTTATTAGATTAAAATGTGTTTAAATGTTTTTATTAAGTTGATCTAGAAATAGGCCTTCTTTGATGTTCGGTATATTTTTGGAAGCCATCAGAGATGGTTAATGAGTAAAGCATATAACTATTTAATTCCTAAGGTAGTTTTTATTCTCTGCAGTAGTTTTTATTAAGTTGTATCCTGAAGTTGGCGAACTGTGTAGACGTTGTATTTTTGGAAGTCATCAGGGATGGTTGATCAGTCCGGTCAACAGTAGATCAACGCCAATTAACGTTCTGCACTACTACAACATATTATTTATTTGATTAAAATATGTTTAAATGTTTTTATTAACTAAATGAATCTTAAATTCTCATTTTGGGTAAACAAAATATTTAATATGTTTATGTTACATAATTAAAGTTTCGTAAGCTCCTATCGTAATTTATCAAAATTTTGACTGAAAAATCAGTCATCCAAAAAATTACGTGCAAAATATGCTATATCATCGACTTAGGACAGCTCTTTTTAAATAAATATTCATGTTAATTATTATTTTCTATATTAATTAATTGGGTCGCCAAAACATGCAAATGCTTGACTCTTTATGTCATCATTTACTGAAGTTTTGCTATGTTTAACTTCTGATTCATAAGGCTCTCTACAATGTGCTGGATGTCTAACCTTCAAATGATAATGCAAATAGATAGTACGGTTCGATTTTTCAGCTGTATTTTGTGGGTTGTAAATCGAGTCACAATTTAAAAACTTTTGATTTTTACCCATATTAAAATAGTTTGAATTAGAGGTCGGCAAAATCGCACTTCCGGGATCCCGAGTCGGGATTTTTTTCTTAACCGAGGCCGGGACGGGGTAAGGGTTCACCTTAGCAACACAACAAAAAACACGTTTTTCTAGTGTAATAAAATGCCTTCGCTACACGATGGCCGTGCTTCGCTGCGGTCGTGCTCGCTACGCTCGCGGCGACCGTAGCAAAGCGGCGGCCGTCGTTCCGCTCGACATGCCCGGCTTCCTCCGCAGCGGCAAGAACTTTTTTCCGCGAAAACATTGTGGAAGGGATAAAAACAAACGGTCATAACTTTGTCAAATCAAGTCCGATTTCGTTGATTTTGGTGTCATTCAACTCAGCTCGTCAAGCTCTTTCGAATGAGGTATAATTCGCCTATTCGAATTTTTGACCCCAAAAATCAGCTTGGTCCCCCTTTGGTTTTCGATTTTCAGGGGTCTGAAAATCCGGGAAAAAATGCCTTCGAGCACCGTTTTGAGTATTTTTATAGTGTTTTTTGAACTCAGCTCATCTTTTTACATTAGAAAAACATGACTTTCAGTGTGTTGCTAAGGTGAACCCTAGCCCGGGACGGGATCCCGAGGGATAAATCCCGAAAAAATCCCGAATTTCAAAAATCCAGAAAATAATTATCCGGGATCCCGCCCGGGATTCGGGATTTTTTCAAAATAAAAAATTTAAACTTTTTATAAATAAAGTCCATCAAAATACTGCAATTTATCTGTAAATAATATTAACTTCGTAAAAATCTAATAGATTTAGAGGGATATCGGTGGATTAATCACTAGGTACCTTGATAAAATCCCACTATATACTAATCCATCCACTTTACCCCGATAATACCTCCAGATTTCTCCGTTTGCAGCGCCGCAAGCGAAGATTTTGAGAATTTTGGAGCACATGAAGCCAGATTTCTTCCATTTTCAGCGCCGCAGGCAAAAATTTTGGGAATTTTGGAGTTCCTTAAACCAGAATTCTTCATTTTTTGCGCCGCAGGCGAAAATTTTGAGAATCACTAGAGTAAGACATGCTTGGGATATGCCAATTTAAAAATCACGAAAATTATAAAATATCGTCCGGGATCCCGAGTCGGGATTTTATTTTTTAACCGATGCCGGGACGGGATCCCGAGGGATAAATCCCGAAAAAATCCCGGATCCCGAAAATCAAAAAAATCCGGGATTTCGGGAGCGGGATCCCGGAAAATCCCGTCGGGATCCCGTCCCGCGCCGACCTCTAGTTTGAATATTTTGAATATCAAAAATATAACGAAACGAAATGGAGGAATTATGCCTGCACGGGATAGCACACAATTGAAAACCATAATTAAGATTTCTAAAATTTCAGCAAGTTGCTGATTACCTAAGCAGCCCTTGTGTAGATACAACTGCTTTTTGGCATAATGAATCAAACAAAAAAAAGATTCATTGTTGCTCTGCTTGGTGAACATAGTATGTGTACTTATCATGCCGCTTAACTTCTGAAGGCGAGCGACTTTTGTTTTAGATGAGAGAAGAATGAGTCTTTCGGGAGAAAATTTAAATCCATAAAAATTTTTTAGAATTGCTATTTTCTGAACAATCTATTAGTCTTTTTTATCAAAAATAAATTTCTCAATTAAAATATTTCATTATTTTGATTTCTTTATTTTTTCAACGTTTTAAATTTTTATATTTTTAGTTGTATTATTTAATTACTTTAATTTTATCGTTGTTTTGTTAATAAAATTAAATTTTTTATTTACTCTTTTCGTCTGCACTTTAAACTTTATTTTCCCATAAATCAACGAAGATGCCAGTGTCCCCATTTTATTTTTCTTTCGATGCGCAATTAAAAATTCCGACTCCTTCACAAAAAATTAAAAATATTTTTTTTATATTTTTGTTTAGGTCAACAAGATTAAATTTATTTAAAAGATTTTTGTTAAAAATAATATTCGTTAATTTGAAATTTTTAGAGTTAAAGATTTTAAGTATCTAAATCTTTTGTTTTTTAAAAGTTGTTAAAAAAATTTTACACACAAACATTGTTTTAATGAGATAATTTATTTTCAGTTTGTTTTAGGTATAGAGGACATATTTAGGTTTACAAATTTGTCCTGTTTTGTACAACACATTTCAAAACAAGACAATATAAACTCATTTTACAAAGTTGTTTTTAACTTTGAAAACAAGATTTTTGTATGACGTATTTGTTTAATGATTGCTATGTTTTTATTAAAATTAACTAATTTCCAAAAACCTATTGTAACATAATTATAGAGACACCCCTGTAAAATCTTTATTTATCGATCAAAAAATTCACAAAAAATTGA